TTTGTTTTTGTCTTCCAGGATCTGCTCTACCAACTGCAAATCTTTTCATCTCAGCCATTGCTCTCCTGCTGCTATTGTACTAGTATTATACTGGCTCATCAGTGTGATTTAGTATCAGATTTGTGGATTAATGTGACTCTACATATTGTGGTAGGGGTCTACAGATAATCAAAGCCGGTTTTATAATGGTGGACACCCAACATGAGCAGCTACTGCAGCCAAAGCCTCGACAAGCTGCTACATATGAGAAGCAATTAACTGGAGTCAGAGTTCCCAACATATCTTATAGACATGTGCGATTCGTTTCATTCCGAATCGAAATTCGGACGAATTTTCGTAAATTCGGACATTCGGATGTATCCGAATTCCGAATTACAGAAATAACGAATGCAAACAAATCCGAATTTCCATTTCCGAAATTCGGTAGCGTTCGTACGAACGTTCGTTTCGTTTTCTGTTCTTATCCATTTCTTATTCGTTTCGTTCGTTGGAGCAAAGTGACATTAGAGGAGAAAAATATTTTTTCCCCCTCAAATGTCACTTTTGCTGCAAACAAACGAAACGAATAAGAAACGAATAAGAACAGAAAACGAAACGAACGTTCGTACTAACGCTACCGAATTTCGTCCGAATTGACTTTCACACCCGAATCCTGAAAAACGAAATAACACAAATCCGAATTTAAAACGAAACGAAACGAAACAAATTTTTTGGCAGTGCACATGTCTAATATCTTATATGACTTAAAACGTGAACTCATTATAAGATGTACATTGAGATACATATATATACAGTATAGATATTGGGAAACCTTTCTCCCCGGTGTCATTCATCTCTGGGATTATTAAGGGGAAATATATGGGGAAGGCGGCGTCTTCAGCCATTCAAAGTGCACTGATTACAGACAGGATAGATTTTTGATGGTATTTTTTGTTATACTGTTTTATATCTAGTTACTAAATATATCACTAAACATTAATAACTTCGGATAAAACATATTTTATGGAAACAGCTTTCAAAAATATAATAAAATACCATAACTATTATCTGAATGGATTGTAATGTGATGAATAGACTGTTCTTTTCACGCAGGTTGTCAGAATGTTTAATTCCTGCAAGGTATACCATGAGACCCGCCAGCTAATTGTTGCGTATATCCTACACGCTTTGTATTGGGCCAATGATTTCATGTGATCATCATCCGCAATGTATAATAAATAATAATTAATGAAGTTGAAATAGAACATTAGTTAGCTGATAGTGAAGGAGAAGTTGAATTCCCTCATGTTTCTGTTATTTTAGATTGGGGGAGGGGAGGATTACAGAGATCTGATCATTATGTGTAACAAATGTTCTGTTCACACTTTATATGGTGAATAAATAAATAAACTGATTGGAGTGGAGGATGTCTGTCTACATTAACTAACCATTACATTTCCACTTTACATTGTGTTTTGATGTTATGTACTAATAACAGTGAGATGATAAAACCAATCCCGATCTACATTATCTCGATGTGGCCGGGGGGCCATCTTGAAATAAGGGCGGGAAGGGATTTGTACAATTTGTTTCTGTCCAGATATCATCTTTATTATGAGAAATACAAAATGCCTCAAATCCCTGAGAGAGAGAGAGAGTATCTAATACAATTAATTGTCTGTAATCATAGATCAGATGTTAGTATAAAATATGCAAGGACTGATTTATAAATATTTAAGTGGTGATGTGCTTTATGACAGGAAATTTCCTCCCGGCAACATTTGTGTGTAGTGGAAAGAGAAAAACTTCTCATTAATTGCTGATTGTTGCTGGATTAATGCAAAAAAACAATATCACCTTTCATGCAATTCTTATTCTTCTGAGAAGCTTACATTGCTGTCTCTGTGTGCGGTCATTCCCCCCGTCCTTAGGAAACATGTGTAGGAGTTCTGTCTCTGTGTGCAGTGTCGGAACTACTGCCGGTGCAGGCGGTGCAGGCGCACCAGGGCCTCGGCCTGTGGGGGGCCCAGCACAGTCCCAGCGCTTGATCTGTACCCAGCGGCCAGCGGGCCCCCATCTCTGCGCCTAGAGTGTCGGATCATCAGTTCATCCGACACTCCCGGGAGATGGGGGGCCCGCCAGC